CAATGCCCAGGAGGAAGTGACTCAGTCTAGACATAAACATGACGCGGCGCCACGCGCGGAAGCCCCATGTCTGAACACGTGCGGTGTGTGGTCAGCACGTCGGGGATTGCAAGTCACGTGTCGGACTTGGAGACCACCCGTGAAAGTGCAAGAATTAATGCTGAGAGCAGTATAGGAGGAAGGTGGCAACCTGCTCAGTGAATCCTACTGTCGAGTTAGTTGACAGGATATGCTGGTCTGGATTATTCAATATATTCTAAAAGTCATGCAGCTTGGGTGCTTTAAGTACATAAATCCAATCTCAGGCAATGAACTGAGGTCACTTCCCTATTTAGAAGGAGTGCATAGTTTAAGGAATAGGTAGGAGGGACTTAGAAATAATGGGTCGACCATTTGTACGCACGTGTGCCTCTACCGTGCTCAAAGATCGCTTGGTCTTCTTAGTATTACCCTTGCAGTCTTGTTTAAACTCTTAATTTTTCTTAACTAAAACTTTCTTCATAGCTTGAGTGATGGTAAATTTCAGCTCAGGCTCCATTAATGGATTTTACAAGTCCAGCCTGTTTCTTAAGGGTCCTGATTACAGACTAGACCAAGCAAATTGTCAGGTTGGAGGGCAGCTCCTGGTGCCTTTGGTTTGCATGAAGTTGACTCTGGCTTTTTCGGCTGGAACTATGGTTTCTATTTCCTCGACGAAAGTGAATTCTGTAAAACAGTCGACCTGGACTTCTGCCCCAGTCTTCCCCTGCCGTTGAGGCAATGCAGCTTGTTAGGGTGATTATTACCATAATCATTATTACATCTTCTGCTGAAATGTAGTATAATGTATTCCAGAGCGAAATCATTTTTGTTTCTTTATACATCTTCTTTTTGTCATGGGCACAGATAATTAAGATCTAATTGTAGTTCTATAACTTAGCATTTGTTAAGGGTCTGAAACACGAGACTTCAGCATCTGGAGCCCCTAGCTACATCCTTTTCTCTGCCCCTCTCAGAACACCCTCCATAGGCCCAGATGACCAGCTCCAGCCCTGGCATTCGTCCTCTCAGCTCACGAGTGAGAAAGGGCTAATATTTCTCCGAGTTCTTTGATCAAGAGGTGGTGGATGAATAATTAGACCACAAGAATATTTGCTCCTTCTCACCCAGATGTGAGGGGTAATGACTATGAGTTGAGCCATGTGGTGTTAGAGTGAAGAAAACACCTGTTCATGGCCTAAACCAAGTGGAAGGCCATGTAGCACTTGCAAAGTGTCAGTTGCTACCCCAGAGCAGCCAAGCAGAGGTCGCTGCATGGGTTCGCCGGGCCGTGAGCAGAGCCCGCCACATCAGATGAGACTGAAGATCACAATTCCTATCCCATCTCAACGTGGGCCACTAAGTCCACCCCTCAGAAACCTCCACTAATGCTCAGCAGTACCTTTACTTTCCAGCACTTTAAATTCTTGACTTTTCTGCTGGATTGGGCAACTGGTACTGTTAGCACCAGTCAATTTTTAGGTACAAATATATATCGGTTGGACAAATAAACTTGACATCTGAAAGAGAATGGCTTGGCGATGAAGAAGGACTGGAGCCACTAGTTAAGGTCCAGTTCTCCTTTTTGATGAACAAAACCCAATCTCTCCAAACCCGATACAAATGTGTCCCATCACTCCAGCTGATGTCAAAACGTACTGACCTAAAAGAAGTTAGAACATACACATGGTGTGACAGGCCCAGCTCACTAGACTGGAGTCAGAGACCTGGGGTTCCTCCCTCAGCTCTGCCATTCACTGACGGCGACCTTGACCGAGCCCCTCCATCTCTCTGAGCCTCGGCACCCTCAGCTGTAACATGAAAACATAAGACTAAATAATCTCTGGGGTCCTTTCCAATTAAAACTCTACAATTCTCTATAACACTTTTCCCCCCAAAAGCTCGAAATGTTTGCAACATTATTTATGCAAAACATAAACCAAAACCCAGAGATCCTCATTATGTAGAGAACAAAGTGTGACAAGTCTCCCGAGGTCATGTCTTATGATCCAGAGCTAGTTTATGGGCTTGAAGGAGCTGGTTCAAAGCATTTCTGATAACAGAACGATAAGAAAAAAACCTTCCCCTCTGAGTCTTGGCAGAGTCCTTAGCATAGTACAGGACTCAGGGGTTGCCATGTTTCAAATAAACATTGTAAAAAGGTCCTTGACCTCATCGCCTTTAAAGCACTTGGAACATTTCTTTTTGTAAAAGGTTGGCTTCAGTGTCAGAAGACAGATTGCCTTCTGCTGATGTAAAAACCCCCTCTAGCGCAGCCCGTGTCCTGAGCAGTCCTTCTTCGACTCTCCCCTGGGAGCTCGACTGGGCCCCCTACCTGCCTAGAGATACGGGAGCCACCCATATCTCCATGTCCCGCCCTAATGGAACCCTGGCATCCAGAGGCAGGGACATTGTCACTATGTAACATATGGTTTGGATTTGCCTTGATCTCTAGGCATGAGGAGGACGTTCAGCACTTCAAGGTCATGAGAGACAACAAGGGTAATTACTTCCTGTGGACAGAGAAGTTTCCATCCCTGAATAAGCTGGTGGACTTCTACAGGACGACTTCCATCTCCAAACAGAAGCAGATCTTCCTGCGGGACAGAACCCAAGAGGATCAGGTACGCTTCAGGTCCCAGCCAGCCCCGTCCCATCCAGAGACGTGAGGCAGCTGGAGTCCCACGTGCACCCCAGGACGGGTCCTCTGAGAACTCTAAAAGGCGGAAGAACTCTGAAGCCGGATCTCAGTTTAAATCTTGGCTTAACACTTCCTAGCTAGGTGACTTTGGAAAGTTCTTTGATTCTTAGTTTCTTCATCTATAAAGTTGGGATGGTAGTGATAGCTACCTCATAGAATGGTCACAAAGGTTAGAAAGATAATGTGTCCCCTTCCTTACATCACCCCTAATCACACTGCAGGCACTCCGTGCACAATAGCTCTTATTGTGGATGTCATTGTTTTACTCGTAGACATTACTACGTCACAGTTGGGGTCCTGGCTAGAACTTTGTGACAGGATTCGAGGTCGGGGTAGGAGGCACTGAAAGGGAAAACCGACCCTGGAATTCTTGCTCTTGGAACAATTTGGAATATAGAGTATTGTTTTCATAGAAAACACATCCGACAGACCTGGCTTTGAGTCCTGACTTCATGGTTAACTATCCTTATTACCTAGCCAAGTTAAGAAATCTTTCTGAGCTTCCTCGGAATGGAGAGAATACAATACCTCTCTCACTAGGCTATCATGAGGATCGAATGAGATAATACAGTTATAGGACTTGCCGCAAGGTCTGGTCTGTAGGAGGCGCGAAGAAAATACTCACTTGGCTCCCGTAAGTAAATTCACGCACACACAATTTACAAAATATTTTTCAAAGGAAATAATGTGGTTATAAGAGACAGGTGTTACAGGAAGAAGCATTGACTGGAATAGTTGAAATCCCAGGGACAGGTGACTTGAAAAGTCATTTAGACTTTCAAAGCAACACGTGCTTTGGGGGAAATAAAGAAAAACCATCCCTTTCAAGTCATCGCCTGATTTTAAGCCTGAGAAGTTACAATCGGGGGAGAATAGGGGGTTCCCGTCAAGTGCACATGAAAGTTCAGAAAGAAAAACAAAGGTTAACCAAGACCTTGAGAATGATTTTAAGCAGGAAACGGACAGAGGTTTTAATTTACTAGGATGTGCGTGCAGAGATGAGAGAGGCAACGTAAAACTGCACTAAACTGGATGAAATGAGTTCCTATCCGTGAAGTGCTTAGAAGAATGCCTGGCATACGCTAAGCCAGAGCCCTCTGTAATTGTTAAATAGAAGTAACGAGAAATATCCCTGACCCATGAGGTTGTTGCAGCATTAAGAAGAAGACCTTGCTCCTCCCAGCATGCCCAGCGCAGGCCTGGTTTCCATGGTGCTGCAAAGTGTTGTGTTTGGGTCTCTATCACCAGGCTATAAACGACAGTTAAAAATCATGCAAAGTCAACAGCGGAGCTTATCTGGAAGGTAGGATGTCTAGCGGTGTGGCAACATGCGATAAGCAGGGATGGCATTGTGTCAGTAAAATAGAATAGTGACGCTTGATTGCACAGAGGAAAACGAGCCCACTAGAGATGGACTAAGTGGGCACCACGCAGAAAGTGTCAGACTGTGAACCAGAGACCTGACATCCCCCTAACCGGAAGAATCTGAGAATGCAGAGGCCGCTTTTGAAAACGTTGAGAGTCTGAACCATTTGTTCTCTTTAAGCTGCTCCCCACTCTCCATCCGCTGTCTCTTGGAGCTTTCGTGAGCAAAGTCTGGGAACAGCTGCCTGAAGGGTGAGGTAGGGCCAGGAGATGCGGGAGGAGGATGGATCCGCCTCATCTTTGTTCTCTTCCAGGGTCGCCGGGGCAACAGCCTGGACCGGAGGCCCCCCGGAGGCCCACACCTCAGTGGGACTGTGGGAGAAGAAACCCGGCCTTCCATGAACCGAAAGCTGTCGGATCACCCACCACCCACTCCGTCGCAGTATGCCCCAGCCCCAGCGCCAGCCCAGCAGCGGTACCTGCAGCATCACCATTTTCATCAGGTATCTAGAAAGAATGAAGCAGGGCACAGGGAGGTGGGGAGGAGGTCCTTCTCTCCCCTGAGGCTCAGGCCACTTGCATCCACTGCCACTTAGTTGCGAAAACTCCTCACAATGCTGGAAACAACCGTAGAAAATAAACGCTGGGGGTCTATTGTGAACGAGGCCCTGCTGGCAGGGAGAGCAACATCCCAGGCCCCGCCCAGCGTCGACACGTCTCACTAAGTTCGGGGCCCCCAAATGGCGGAAATATGATATGGAAACTGTTTAGGCAAAGAAGCCTAAAACCAATGGCTCCTGCCTGAAAACACACACACACACACACACACGCACACGCACACGCACACGCACACGCACACGCACACACATTCTTACCCTGAGGACGTGGTGAACAATTGCTTCATTTTCCTATCGGCACAATTTCAAATCTAGTCACGCTCCTTACCCCACCTGGCTGTCCAGATCTACAAAAAAAGAAAAAAAAAAAAGATTAACACCTGCAAGGGAGCCTTGCCTATTTGTTTGTTTATTTATTTATTTATTTTTATTTGTCCCCGTCCAGATCTACAAAAAAAGGAAAAAAAAAAAAAAGGATTAACACCTGCAATGGAGCCTTGCCTATTTATTTGTTTCTTTATTTATTTATTTATTTTTATTTGTCCCCTGCCTTGTTCCAGATGGGATTTTAGGCGGCTTACCGAGATGGACAATACAGCCCGATAACATCATTCCTGAATTTCTTAGCGGGGCATACAGAGTCCTTTGTGAGCTGCTCAATATCCGTTTCCCCAGCCTCGCCTCCTGCTACCCCCTGCTCCTCCCCGCACAAAACACCCATCCTGGCAACGCTGCACGCTGTTCGTTACCAGAATGGTCCACTGTGTTTTCTCTCATGCCTTTGAGGCTTTTTATCTGCTGTCGCCTCCACCTGAAATGCCCTTTCCTGGCTGATCCTACGCCCCCTTTCAG